TAGGCTTCCTGCTGAGCAGGGAGCCCGATGTGGGGCTCGATCCCAGGACCCTGGGACCATGACCTGAGCCGAAGGCAGTCGCTTAACCAACTGAGCCACCCAGGCGCCCCACAAAGACCCTTTCTTCAGATAAGGTCACATCCACAGGCTCTGGGGGTGAGGACGTGGACTCGTATCTTTGGGGGCCACGAGCCCACAACATGGGCCAAGCACTCTTTGCTCAAACTCTTAATCCTCAGAACGACCCTCACCCTCCGTGCAAGAGGAGGCAGCTGAACCCAGGCCCTCTAAGCCCTGCCAAGGCCACCGGCAGCAGGTGACGGGGCCTGGGTCCCAGGGACGCTGGCTCAGTTCATGCATCCGGCCTGTCGCTTCTCCCCAGATGGCCTCCTTGGCCTCCCAGGGGATGTGCGCAGATGTTGGAGGTGGGGAGGCCTGGGCTTCTCCTGAATCTCTCCTCCTCACGCAGCCCATTTTGCAAGAGTCACGAGGCAGCTTCGGAGCGGAGTTCGGGTTGGGGAGGCCCGCGGGGAGGCCGGCAGTGTGAGGCCCAGCAGCCTTGTCCTCTGGAGTCTGTTTCCTCACTTGCAACCGCGGTCTTCATTCCTACTGGGCAGCAGGAGTGGGGACCAAGTGTGCCGAGCACTCCAGGAAGTCTCTAGCGCGGTGCCAGGCACACACACACGTGGGTGTGTTGTTGTCACACTCCTGGGAGGACAGTCGTCAAGACGACGCAGAAATAATCACCGTGCTGATCAGGCACCGAGCAGCTCTGGGCCCTGAGTCCTTCTGAGAGCTGTGTATTTATGACCTCATTTGTGCTCATGTGCCCCCCCCCCCCCCCGCCCCGAGGACGGGCTGCCCCTCGCCCCATTCCATAGTCGAGGACACTGAGGCCTGTTCGCTCACTTCCAACTTTGCGGTCTGGAGAATGCCGCCTCTGTCTGCAACTCATGCCCCCTCTCTGCCCAACCCCCCACCAACCATGGTGGGCTTCCAGAGCAGGTCTGATGGGGGTCTTTCCACCCAGAGGGAAGCGAGTGTTAATTCCTCAATCCCCCCTCCCCATCTTCACTGCTCAGTACCCCTGCCCGGGCAGGCTGGCCAGAGGGGAAATACTGGGGGTCCTGGCAGGTTTGGGGTGTTCCAGTCCAGGAATGGTGCTGCATTTGGGGTGAGGCCATGGCCTCACGCCAGGCTGCCAGGGGCACGGACAAGCCCGGAGGGCCGGACTGTCCTCTGTCGCAGGAGCACAAATCTGTCTGCAGCCTGGCCGCCTGCCTGCCGCCCACCCTCAGCCTTTGGCAGGGAGGCTCCCAGGGAGACCGGAGCCCTAGGGAGGCTGTTGTTTGTTCAAAGTTAGGACCTGGGTTGGGGGGAGTGCATGTGGAGCTCTGGTTTCACCACCTATGGCCTCAAACAAACCGCATCTCTCACCTTCTCCAGGTTTTGATTTTCTTACCTGCAAAACGGGACTGATAACGCGGCCCCTTAGAGGACCACTCGGGAGCTCCATGAGGCCTCACCCCAAACCCTCACATCCCCCAAAAGGCTTTGTGGTCAGTGTTTGGGCAACCTGCACGCTTTCTTCTCATGTCTCTGTTGGAGAGTCCCGTTTCCCCCCCAGCTCAGCTGGGACCTGGGAAGCCGGGCGGCCAGAGAATTCTTGAACACGTCTGTGGGACCCATAACCTCTGTCGATGGGGTATTTGGGGCGGAGCAAGTTTCAGGACGAGTCAGGAGGAATAGAGTGAGTGGGTTATAAGGCACTGTTATGAATTTAGGAGAGAAAACGGGACTGAGCTGGTTTTGCATCTCCCACCTATAGTAATGGGTGCCAAGTCCCAGGTGGCGTTTGGGACCCAGGGGACTCTGAAACCCTGGCCACCCTGCACCCAGCCAGCTGGCAGAGGGACCTCCCCACCTTCGTGGCTCTGCTGTTTCATTGACGGACCCATTCGGCAATGACATAAATGGGGAATTAGGGGAGAGACTCATGGGGTCCGTTAGCCCCCCTTGGGGGGCTGGGGGAGGCTTGTGTCCCAGGTGAAGAATAAGCCCAGGGAGCCTCTCGCTACACTGGAGACTTGCCATTGCTTCCACAGACCTGGCTGATGTCGGTGTCGACTGTGAACTGTGGCGCCGTGTCTTGCTCACCGCATTCACTGTCATCATGGTGGAGGAACTGGCGTGGGCTGGCGTGACACACAGCTCTGTCCCGAAAGGATCCCAGGCGTTCTGGCCGGTTGGCAGCTGACACTCCTCTCCCTGCCCCTACCTCGCTGGGGAGGGCCGGGCCCACGCACGGGGCATGAGAAAAGAGCTGGTGTCAAGACGGCACGACCCGATTTCCCAAGCCGATGTGGCCTGGAGGTCCTCCCCTCAGACTGGGTCCTGCTGCTACGGAAGTGGCTTCACCGTGGCTTCCTGCAAACCAGCCCCCTCTGACCTCAACGCACCCCATGCGAGACAGGCGCCCTTCTCCCTGTGGTCCTGCAGCGCCCCCGGCTGGCGGAGCAGCCCCCCCCGGACTGTGGCCAGCCCCCATGCCTGAGGGAGGTGGGAGCTTGGGGGTGTCCCACCTGGAAGGACACACATCACTTTTGCCCACAATGTGGCAGCCAGAACGAGTCATGTGACCCATCCAAGCACAAGGGGGTCGAAGTGCCACCCCACTGTCCACGTGCCACAGGATGGAGGGGGCTGGCGTGTGGTGTGAAGAGCACTGAGTGCTGCAGTGCCCGCGTGAGAACACAGGGGTTGGGGAGTGCCCCGCAGGCAGTGCGGCGAGCACCAGCCAGGAACCAGCAGCACCAGTGCTTCCGTCCTTTGAGACATGGGGCAAGCCCCTCACCATCCCTGGGCACCCCAGCCCCTCCTCCGTAAATGGTAAGAATGGGGTCTTGTTCCTTGTTTCTCTCTTCTGTGGCCACGTTTGGATGAGGACAGGTGGATGAGAACCGTGGAAGCAGGCGGAACACCGGAGGGAGGACGGACAGTCTCAGGGATGACTGAGAGAACTCATCAGGGAGCCCTTTTATTCTGGAGCAATTGTAGATGGACAGGAAAGTTGCAAAGAGTAATACAGAGAGTTCCCGTGTACTTTTCACTGTGTCCCCGAGCGCTGTCACCTTTCACAGCCCTAAGACATCGATCAAAACAACGGGATTCGCACTGGTACATTATCATCAACTCAGCTATGGACTCCATTCAGACTTCACCCGTTTCCCCATGAACGTTTTTTATCTGGCATCGCCCAGTGCCCCACAGAACAGCTCCAGCACCCTCAGAATTCCTGAGCGTGTCCCCTCTGTAACGCATTACTGCTCCATATCCAATTCCCTGCAACCACTTTTCTGTTTTCCAGACTGTCCTAGAAATGGCATATATAATATGTAGGCTTTCGAATCTGATTTCTTAAACTTAGCAAAACGCACTTAGGTGATTTCCGTGGTGTGAAGCGATGACAGACACATTCCTTTTTATTCTGAGTGGTATTCCATTGTATGGATGTCCTATAGTTTGTCCATCCACGTGTCTGTTGAAGGACATCTTGGTTGTGTCCGGTTTTTAGCAAATAAAGTTGCTATAAACATTCACATGAATGATTTTGTGTAAACAAGAGTTTTCAGTTCAATATAGTGAGCGTACGTTTAACTTTATAAGAAACTGCTGACTCAACCATTTTGCGGTGTCAGCAAGGAATGAGAATTCCCACCGGGTTTTTGGATTTTAGCCATTCTAACAGGTGTGTAGTGATATCTCACTATGGTTTTAATTTGCATCTCCCTAATGACAAGTGATGTTGGGTATTTTTTCATATGCTTCTCTGTCATCCATATATTTTCTTTGGTGAAGTGTCTGTTCAGATCTTTTCCTCATTTTTTTTTTTTTTTAAGATTTTATTTATTTGACAGAGAGAGACACAGTGAGAGAGGGAACACAAGCAGGGGGAGTTGGAGAGGGAGAAGCAGGCTCCCCGCTGAGCCGGAAGCCCGATGCGGGGCTCGATCCCAGGGCCCTGGGATCATGACCTGAGCCGAAGGCAGACGCTTAACGACTGAGCCACCCAGGCGCCCCTGCTCATTTTTAATTGGTCTGTTTTCTTATTGTTGAGTTGTAAGAGCTCTTTATATATTCTGGATACACGTCCTCTTTTTTTTTTTTATCAGATATCTGATTTTTTCCAAGTCTCTTGTTTGTATTTTCATTCTTTTAACAGTGTCATTAACAAAGGAAATGTTTTTAATTTTGATAAAGTACAATTTACTAATTTTGTTCTTTCATGGATTTTCTTGGTGCCATATCTAAACACACTGCCAAACACAAGGTGATGTAGATTTTAACACTTTTTTTTCCTAGAAACTTTAGAGTTTTACATCTTATCTTTAGGTTAATGATCCTTTTTTAAAAAGACTTAAAATGTGAATTTTAACTGTAAAAATTGTTTTCTGTACATATAGTTACATCAACTTCTCTGCACACAACTTGGTTCAGATATATAGAGACATGATATACACAGATGCTATTGGTGCCAGAGAACGAAGTCAATTAAAGAAACATTTACTCTTAGCTTCAGGATAATTCCAGCTTTCTTTAGGCCATTAAAATGATCACCGCTGAAAACAGAGAGGACAACATACCTCCATGCACCAGTGTTCGGGGTAAAATTTATCAACTACCTTACTCATTTCATATTATGGGGTAAAAGACCTCAAACAAAAATAGATTCAGTGTCTCTTATTGCTATAACTTTTAGGGTGGGGCATTCATGATCCACTTTGAGTACTTTTTGGGTAAAGGGTGAGGTATGTGTCAGTTCTTTATACATCTTGACCTTGTGTCTCGTGATCTTGCTAAGCTCATTTATTTATTCTAAAACTTAAAAAAAAAAAGATTCTCTGGGATTCTTCTAAATAGATAATCGTGTCACCTGCAAATAAAGGACAATTTTATTTTTCCCTTTCTGATCTGCGTGCCCTTTATTTCTTATTTCTTACCTGATCGCATGGCTAGAACTTCCAGTGGGATGTGAAGGAGGGCGTTGGGAGAGGACATCCTTGCCGTGTTTCAGCTCTTGGAGGACCAGCGTTCAGGCTCTCATCAGCAAGTCTGATGTTAGCTGTAGGGTTTTGAAGGGACTTTGATTAGGGTCAGGAAGTGTCCTGTATTCCTATTTTCCTGAGAGTTTCTTTCTGGTCATGAATAAATGATGCGTTCTGTCAAATGCTTTTTCTGTGTCTACTAAGATTATTATGGTTTTTCTTGTTTAACCTATTGATGTGGTAAATCACATTTCATTACTTTTTAAACTCTGAATTTTTGGTGAATAAAAAATGACATTTTTTAAATGCTTCAGGTGCCCATTACTACTAACGGCTTCTAGGCCTTTCTGGCTGAGTGACTTTGGATAAGTCTCTTAACCTCTCTGGGCCTCAGGCTGGCCTCTCCCTACTTTGCTGGGGGGAGGTGGGCTGGATGGCTGACTTCAAAAGGCCCCTGCCATTTTGGTGGTGGGGGTGATGGGAAAGCGGACAAGAAGAATGCCTTTCTGTGGCTGTGCCTTCATGCTGACAGCTAACCCAAGACTTTGCACTTAATGGGCGTCTGCTGTTTTCCAGACCCCAGGTGGGACCTGTGAGCATTTCCTCATATAATTCTTACACAACATTATGAGACAGGCATTGCAATCTTCACTTGACAAACAGGGAAGGTAGGATACAGAGAGGTCAAGTAGCTGGTCATAGCCACGCATGCAGTGGGCAGAGGGCGCCATCTTGTAAGACAAGTGGTAGGAGGTAAAGTGAGGCACAGACCCACGCCGCCCACTGCGGTGGCCACTAGCCACACGTGGCTCCCCAGCATCGGGAACGTGACTCCCCCACACTGAGATGTGCTATCAGGGTAAAAATAAAGTCTGGATTTTGAAGAGTTGGTACCAAAAAAAAAAAAACCCAAAAACAAAAACCGTAAAATTTCTCATTGGTAATTTGTTAGTATTATTTCATGTTACTGTTTCGTATAGACTGGGTTAAATAAAGTACAGATGCAAATTCCACCTGTTTCTTTTCACTTTTTCTGATATGACAAGTGGGAGAATGTCAAACTACGTATGTGGCCCAGACTTTATTTCTGTTGTACAGACAGGGAGTCAATGGATTACGGCGCGTGGGCTGAATGTGGCCCAGCACCTGTTTCTGTTTTGTTTTGTTGATAAAGTTTTATTGGTACATAGCCCGTCCACTCGTGGACATGTTGTCTATGGCTGTTTTTATGCTATGGCAGCAGACCTCAGACAGAGACCGTATCACCCACAAAACTCCCAATGTTCACTAACTGTCCTTTTACAGGAAAAGTGTGTCGACCTCTGTTCCAGATAAAAGTCTGGGAGGCTGGTTCCCAGAGCATTAACCATCCCTGTAGACAGGTTATAGGCGATTTTCTTTTTTATATCTGTCTTTTCTAAAGTTCCAGAAATGAAAACATCACTTTTGACAACGAGGAAGAAAGATCATCCATGCTTTCTTATTGAAAATAATAAATTATGAGATGGGGAACCAAAGGTGTGGTTGGGGCTGACCCTGAAAATGAGTCATCTCTGTATGGCTCCTGAGCTTGCTCCCCAGGAAGATCTGGGAGGACCCCAGGAAGCCTCTGGCATGGGCAGCAATCCAAACACGCTCTCCTTTCGGAGGGGCTGTTTATGTAGGGATGAGGAGGGGTGCAGGGGCTAAGGAAGCCAGTCAGCCAAGGGCCGACCCGAGGAGGCTGGGCCATGCAGCGTGGGGGGCTCGGGAAGCCAGGCCCATCTGGTTTGCGTTAGGTTTATAAGGTTGATAGCAAATAAGGGTATTAGAGCTAATTTACTTATTTAGAGAAAGACGACTCAATCCCAGAAACTGATTGGGATGGAGCAGTTCCCCGCCCCCCTGATCCCCGCTTGCAGAGATGCCCCATGGGAGGAGGAGCCTGCATGCCAAGGCCCTTGTGCAAAGCTTGGTATCATTTAAAAAATAGCCCTGCAATCCGGTGTGGCCTTGGGGTTGGTCTGTGGATCTTGCTACCCGCCCCCGCCGCCTGCCCCCCCTGGCCTGGGCACACTTCCCCGAGGAGGATCTTGGCCCCCTGGGGTTTGGGGTGCACAGCAGTCCTGGGACACAGGTAGTTCACAGGGCGAGAACGAAGAAGCACAGCAGCATCTCTTGGGGCCCAAAGCCCCTCACCCAGCAACCTCAGCCCCCTGGATCCCCGGGGTCCACAAAAAAATCACAAGAAGCCCTGCGGCTCCCAGGCCACACACTGTGACTTCGGGTGCCTGCAGTGGCCACAGGTTCCCAGGGTGCTGCCCAAAGCCCCCGTCCATTTCCCCCAAGCCAGGAATGATGTCCTGGGGACCTCCTGCGCAGGCTCTACCCTTGGACCAGGGGCTCTGGCTCCTGGAGCTCGGCTCTACTCGAAGGCAGGGCTCCCTTTGGCCCGGTTTTCCGGCGAGTACCTGGGCTTCAGAATCAAAGTCCTTCCTTCCTTCCTCTCTCCCTCCCTCCCTCCCTCCTTCCTTCCTTCCTCCCTCCCTCCCTTCCCCCATCATTACATTTGTTATAATCAGGGTTTCAATATGGCTGGTTTATCCACCTTATTCTTGGAACAAACAGCATATTCTAGATTTACAAGATTGCACTCCTTCTTCAGACTTCATGGCTGTGACCTCAGCAGTCCTCACGAGATCCAGTAGATCCTATTAGATCCACTTTAGGACTCCTGTGTCACTCATAAGAGAAATGGGTCATTCAGTAAGTAATTAAATGTCAACCACCAAGCTCCATCTGTGGAGCTAAAGTTACAGCCATGAACAATTATAACTAATTTATATCACCCTCCCAAATAAATAAGTAAATAAATAGAAAGGAAAATGGACATTTAAGGAGCAAGAAGTAAAGGGCACAGAAATCTAACATTTGGAAATGTCTATAGCACTGGTTTTCAGCTCTAGTTGCACGTCCGAATGCTTGAGGAGGTTTCAAAGAAATATTCATGTTGACCCCACCCCAAACCAACCAGGTCAAAATCTCGGGGGTGGGGATGGGGGTTGGGAGTCAGGTCAGATGCAGTTAATGTCGAGAACCTCTGGCTTCTAATCGACCTCAGTGACAGATTCTGGGTTTTTCTTGCTCTAATCTGGTCATTCTCAAAGTGGGGTCCCGGAGCCAGCAGCATCCACACCCCCTGGGAACTTGTTAGAAATGCAGGTTCTCAGGCCCCTTGGACCTGCGGCGTTGGGAACAGGGTCCACATCGGTGATTCTCATTCCAGTCTGAGAACTCTGCTCTAGCCCATGAAACAGGTCCGCTTGCTCTTGGCTCTGGGGCTCCCCATCTCATCCCAGCTGGGCATGGGCCCCTCAAGTCTGGGGCCCCCCTGAGGCTCTGGGGGCATCCAGGTCTCATCCGCTATGCCAGCTCAGCTCACCGGGGCGGCTTCTGAGAAGCAGCACGCAGCTTTGCCTGGGCTCGGCGGGAGGAGAGTGGATCGGTGCGCGGTGTCTGGTGTGGACAGCCTTGGAGAGGCCCGCTCAGGGTCTGCGATGTGCATTTCCAGAAGCCTTTATCACTGGGAAACTGATAATCGTAGTTGGGGTGCCTCATCTATTTCTGTCTGCCGGGCCATTCTGGAGTTTGGCAGCTTCTTCAATGTCCCAGCAGGGAAACCCCATGAGCATGGCCATTTTAAAGTACCACGGACTGAAATTCCAAAGGACAAAGACGGCGCCAACATTGTAGCGTTCCCCATGAGGAACATCCCATCCCCTCCATCTCCCTACCTCCTGCCAGCTTCCACGGCCCGGTCACTTCTGTTTTTAATTCCTTCTCTCCTTTAAAATAAAATTCATCTTTGGTCTGATTAGAAAAGGGATTAATGCTAAACAAAAAAGGCGTGAGGAATGCAATTAAAATTGTCTGAAATCCCACCTCCCAGAAGTAATTCCTTGTTAACACTGGTTTTATCCTTTCTGGTCCCGTTTCTCTCCTTGATGTGGGGAGAGGACGCTGACCGGTGCACAGCATGTCACCTCACTTCATTCATTTAAATAAATACGAGGAGAGGCTCATGGCTTCACTGAGTAAAGGAAGGGCCCCAGGATCTTTGAGAAGCCTCAGGAGAGGACAGCACAGTCCCGGCCTCACCCTTGTGTGGACGAGGAAATGGAGCTGGAGGGAGGGAGAGTGGCCCCCGGCCATGCAGCTACCCAAAGCAAAGCGGCATCTCCTGCTGGGGCAAGGAGAGGATGAAGCCACAGAACCGTCTCGGAGGAAGTGATGTCAGGACTTCAATCTGCACATGGCATTCTAATGGGGTTGACCCGATGTGTGGCTCTATGACTCCACCCATGTCATGGGAGTCAAGATTCTTTCAGTTTTCAGTGACTGAGACTCATTTCACGTTTAAGTAATAAAAACAACAGACTCTGTGACTCATATAATAGAAGGTCCCCCAACCCAGGAGTTCAGGCACAGTTGGATCCAGGCACTTGGATCATGTGACAGTCTGCCCCTCTCCCTTCCCTTGGTTCTACTCTGCTCTAGGTTGGTTTCATTTTCTCTGTGTAGTGGCCTCTGGCAACTCTGGACTTACACGCACCAGTTTGGTCAGGTCAGAGTGAAGAATGTGATTGGTTCTCCGCTGTTCCAGCAACACCATAGGGGTGACACTTACAGGCTGGATCCTGAGAAATCTCTGAACCAATCACTGTGACTCGGGTTGTCTGGGTCTGGGTCCTGTGTTCACTTCTGGAACTGGGGGGTGGTGTCACCCACACTTGAATCTTGTGGAGTGAGAGGACGGAAGGGACAGATCCCAGAGGAAACCGAGAGATTCATCCCTGAAGCAGGAGTCATGGAGGTTGGGTGGTCAAATTGGACTACCCCATGCAGGGCCAGAAAGGCCACTGCTTGAGACATTCCCTTCAAGACCTTCTGAAGACCAGGGTCTGTTTCCTGTGTCCTAACCCTTCTGCTCCTCGGATGGGGGATCATAATTAGCATATTAACAGGGATTGGGGTTCAACACTTGCAGGTACTTGAGGTCCTGGAGTAGGGGACAAGTAAGCTAGGAGGAAGAGAGAAT